GGCGATAAAGTCACCGATGGGGTCACACAAATCTGTATAACGAGCTCGCGCCCCAGCGCCGTAAAAGCGTGACCCGCCATTTCGCCTGACGCACGGAGAGGGAGGGGGAGGGAGACGCGTCGGGAGGTCCTCCTCTTCATACTCCTTATCCTTCTCCTCGAGTTCCTCCTCCTCATCGAGTTCCTCCCCCTCGAGTTCCTCGTCCTCGAGTTCCTCCTCCTCCTCCTCCTCCTCCTGCCGTCCACCCGTCCAGTGCCTTTTTTCCCGAGCATCGACGAGAGAGCGTCGATGTAACATGGTCTCTTCGCGGAGGCTGCCTGTATCGGATCGCAGCGCCGCCGCAGTTGTTCGTCCGGAAGGGCGGCATGCATTCCCGAGACCGTAACCGTCCGGAGGGAGATGGGTAGGTTTGAGCGGACGACGAGAGCGAGAGGCGGAGCCGAGAGAGAAAAGGACAGAAGGACAGAGATATAACACACACACAATGGGAAAAACACACACACAAAAACAAAAACAAAAAAAAACAGACAAAACACGCAGATTCTGTGGGAAAAAACACCTAAGCCTACCCTCCCACCCTAGGTGTGTACAACCACTGGGCAGCATACAGGCGTCTGTGTACAACCACTGGGCACTGGTGTGTTTTTTCCCACAGACTGTGTGTTTCTCCCACAGATTATGGGACAAGGGGTACAGAGAGGGGAGAGCACGGATAGGTAATGACAGGTACGGAAGGGAGAACAGCGAGAGAGAGGACATCATGTCCGCCACCGTGCCTCTGGCACGAAGAGGAGTGCACCAAGGCTCGCAGCTGAGCTGCAACGGCAGCCAGGATCCTCGTTCCTTTTGAGTGCCGGACCCCCTCGGGGATCTGCTGACCCAGGCCGATCCAGACCCGAGCCAGTCGGGCTCTGCAGAATCACGCAGGGTCCTGCAGGATCCTGGAGGACCCTGTACCAAGCCCGGGTCAATGCAACCCTGGCCGGCTCTGCAGGAGCCTGCAAGATCCGGCGCTCTGACTGGCACCCGTTTGCATTGACCCCGTCTCTCGAGCCCCGATCCCCGGTTTACCGGGCGCTCCCAGGCGGGGCTGGGCGCTACTGGTGGGGTGTTTCGCGTGGACGGTGACCCCGTCGAACAGGGCCAAGACACAGGCGAAATGAGATCAAGACGGCCAAAAAACTTTCCAAGACGCCCAAGATGGCCTCAAACGACCCGAGAAGCCTTCGAGACGTCCCAAGAGAGGCCCCAGAGTCTTCGCAAGAGGACCCCGAGAGGCCAACCTCATTGATTTCCCTGCGGATTTAAAATGTTTTGGGGTTCTCCACTGTTCTAGCTCCCGACGCTCCACGACGTCCCAAGAGACCCCCAAGACCGCCCCAAGACGGCCACATTGGTCCCCAAGAGTGCCCCAACACAGCCCAAGAGGGTCCCAAGACGGCCCGAGACGCGCCCAGCACAACCCGAGAGGGCCGCAAGACGGCCCCAGGAGGGGCCCAAGAGAGGGAACGCGAACCGAAAATCCGAGCCTTCCGCCCCAAGAGGCGCCCAGGAGGCCCCAAGAGGTACCCAAGAGGCCCCCAAAAGGCGCCAAAAAGCCAAAAGACGCGCCAAGAGGCTCCAATACGGCCCCTCAGAAGCTTCAAGAAGTGCCTCCAGAAGGCCCCCGAGGGGCCTCGACGAGATGCTAACGACCATCCAAGAGGCCGGCCTCAGACCCACAACCCAGGCACGGTGGTGAGATGGGCCGAAGGTCATTATACAGATACGCATAGATGAATATACGTACATCATTACATTACATTCCATTCCATTCCATTACATTGCATTACATTGCATTACATTACATTACAGCACAGCAGATTACATTACATTACATTCCATTACATTACATGACATTACATGACATTACAATAAATTACATTACATTCCATTACATTACATTACATTACATTACACTACATTACATTACCTTGCATCACATGGCATTACATTACATTATATTACATTACATTACACTACACTACATTACATTACATTACATTGCATTGCATTGCATTGCGTTACATTACATTACATGACATTACATTACATTACATTACACTACACTACACTACATTACATTACATTACACTACATTACATTACCTTACATTACATTACATTACAATGCATTGCATTGCATCCCATCCCATCCCATCCCATCCCATCACATCACATCATATCACATCACATCACATCACATCATTTTACATTACATTACATTACATTACATTACATTACATTACATTACATTACATTACATTACATTACATTACATTACATTACATTACATTGTATTAAACTACAGTACATTACATTACACTACATGGCATTACATTACACTACATTACATTATAGTACATTATTTCACAACGCATTGCATTACATTGCATTGCATTACATTAGATTGCATTACATCATGTTATAATACATTACATGACAAACATGCATGCATGCACATGCACGCATACATACAAACAAACAATCAAACAACACACCTATGTACATACATACACTAGAAACATCGCGCGCTTCGCGCGCGCTCAAGTTCTAGCGAGCTTCTTGGGGCCTCCTCGGAGCATCCTGCACTAGAAAGAGTTTTGAAGCCTTTTGGGTGCCGTCTTGGGGCCTCTTGGAGCCTCTTTGGGCTTCTTGGGGGCCTCTTGGGGCCTCTTGGGCGCCTCTTGGGGTCTCTTGGGGGCTTCCTAGGGGCATCTTGAGGCCTCTTGAAGTCATCTTGGGGCGGAGAGCTTGATTTTTCGGTTCGCGTTCCCTTTCTTGGGCCCCCTTTGGGGCCTTCTTGGGACCCTCTTGCGCCGTCTTGGGCGGCTCTGGGGCCGTCTCGGCGCTCTCTCGGGCCGTCTTGGGGCTCTCTTGAGGGCCTCTTGGGCCGTCTTGGAGCGGTTTTGGGAGCCTCTTGGGCGATGCTTTAGCGCCGGAAACACGAAACAGCGAGAACGCAAAAAAACATAGAAACAAAAATCAAAATCAACGATGTTGCTCTCTCGGGACGCTCTTGGGCGGCATCTTGAAGGCCTCTTGGGGCGTCTTGGGGGCCTCCGGGGCAGTTGAACACGCATCGTGCGTCGCCAGAGACCCCTGGACAGCGTCTTGGGGCCCAGTCTCGAGACCGTCTGGGGCCGCGGGGATTGCTGTCTGAGGGCTCCCCGGGGCGATGTTAGGCCTCCCAGAGGCGGGCTCCGGCCCCTGGCCCCAGGGCCTGGTCCCCCGTTATGTGTATATACATGCATACAGACACACAAACAGACAGACCGACAGGCAGGCAGGCAGGCAGGCAGGCATACATACAGACATGCACACAGACATATAGCGTGTACATCTGGAGATATAGGCATGTGGGCAGAACTGCTACTCCGATGAATAATTACTTACGAGCACACATGCAAACATACCGATGTGTGCATACGTAGTCTAAAAAATCCGTATGCGTGTGCATAACCTATGTGTATATATATACACATGTGTGTGCATGTGTGTATGAAAACGTGCATATGTATAATAATTATGTGTACGTGAATGTGAATGTAAATGTGAAAGTGAAAGTGAATGTGTGTGCATGCGTGTATGTATGCATGCATGCATGCATGCATGTACGTATGTATGGATGAATGGTTGTATGTTTGTGTGCATGTATGAGTGAATGTGCGTTTATGTGTATGTGTGTATGTGTATGCATTTCTACATGAAGGAATCCATGTATGTATGTATGCATGTGCGTGTGCATGTATGCTTATATGAGTGTATATATGTAAACATGCACACATGTATGCATGCATGCATGTGTAAACATAGATGCGTGTACGTATGGTTGTACATATACATGCAAGTATGCGTGTATGCGTGTATATGTGTATGCATGTATGTATGTATGTATGTATGTATGCATGGATGTATGGGTGTATGGATGGATGCATGTATGTACGCGTGTGTATGTGTGAAAGTATGTAAGTATGTATGTATGCATGTATGTATGTGTGTATGTATGTATGTGTGTATGTGTGTATGCATGTATGCATGCATGCATGCATGTATGTATGTATGTATGTATGTATGTATGTACATGTGTGTATGAATGTGTGTGGTTGTATGTTTGTATGTTTGTATGATTGTATGTTCGTTTGATTGTATGTATGTATGTATGTATGTATGTATGAATGTGTGTATGTATGTAGGTATGTGTGTATGTATGTGTGTACGTATGTATGTATGTATGTATGTATGTATGTATGTATGTATGTATGTATGTATGTATGTATGTGTGTATGCATGTCGTTGTGTATGTGTGCATGTGTGTATGTATGCAGGTATGTATGCATGTATGTATGTATATGTATGTGTGTAGGTGGGTAGGTAGGTAGGTAGGCAGGCAGCCAGGTAGGTAGGTTGGTAGGTGGGCAGGTAGGGTGGTAGGTAGGTAAATGTGTGAGAGTATGTGTGCATGCGTGTGTGTGTATGAATTTCTTCTCCCGCCAAACATATCACACTCCCCTGCGACGAATGGTGGTTACACTGACCACGCTTTCCTGCCTCGCGCTTGCCCGCCTGTCCCTGGAGGGGCGCGCGCCGCTTCGCCCTCCCCATGCACTTCATTCTTCCCCGAGTGCTGCGGATGCACCTCGCACCCGCGAGCGCGACGCAACGTCTCAGTCGCACCGAGCGGGGAAGAGCTGGCACTCCAGAGTGCCGTCGAGGGCAGGGTGCTCAAGGTGCGCCAACACAAGCCTGCCTGCACCTCGGCACCACCCTGCCCTCTGCCGCGCCAGAGCGAAAGCGGCCACGATGAGCCGGCTCGGCAGCGTTTCTGGCACAGGTTTGGCTCGACCGCGCACCCCCTTCCCGCCCGTGCCAACCCCGCGCCAGCGGCCGAGTCGGCGCGAGGGCTTACCCCTCGCGTCTGCCAGGGGCGCCTGCCGCCAGACACCATGGCTTCCCTCCGTCCTGAGCTGACAGCTCCGAGTCGTCCTGATTCTTCTCGCAATCCTCATGAGCCATGCCTGGGCCCTTCGAGCCCAGCGCCTGCTGCGCCAGGCGGCCCGCTGTCAACTTCGCCGCGGCGCCTGCCGCCACGCATAGAACCCTCCGGCCGTGCACGGCGGCCAACCTCGAACTTCATCAAGATTTTTGCCGCCACGCCGCCCCGCGCACGGCTGTGCACAACGGCCCACCTCCAAAGCAAAGCCCCTTTCGCCAGCACCTTTCTGTCACGCGTCCCCGACGGGCTCCTCCGCGGCTCGGAGCAGGCCGTCGCGCCCAGAACGCCGCGTCGCGGTCGCTTCTGGCCGACGAGCAACTCGGCGAGCGCGGCGGCGAGCAAGGCAAGAGAGCCACGACGTCGACCATCTCGCGGCAGTACGTGGCGCGCTGGGCGAGTACGCCGCCTAGCTCTGACTACCTACCAAACCACCCCAACCCAATCCAAAGACCCGAATTCCCCGGGTTGGGGGGAGTACGGCCTTCGTGTGTTCTTCCATGTTCTCCGACCCCCATTAAAGGCCTCCTAGATGGGGTCGGAATACATAGTGTTGAAGGATCGCGCCGCATCGGCGATGCATTGGCGCCGTCGGCGCGGCGGAAGTCGGGCTCCGCATCGAGCCGCATCGCCGATGCATCGGCGATGCGGCGTGATACTTCGACCCCATCAACTCCGACCCCATCTGGGAGGCCTAGACCCCCCCCCACTGAGAATGGAAGGCAAATTGGGGCCTTCGAGTTGGGTTGGGGTGGTTTGGTGGGGTGCGTGGGAGGAGGAGGAGGAGGAGGAGGAGGAGGAGGAGAAGGATGGAGGATGGAGGATGGAGGATGGAGGATGGAGGATGGAGGAGGAGGAGGAGGAGGAGGAGGAGGAGGAGGGAGGAAGATGGAGGAGGAAGGAGGAGGAGGAGGATGGAGGAGGAGGATGGAGGAGGAGGAGGAGGAGGAGGAGGAGGAGGAGGAGGAGAAGGAGGAGGAGGAGGAGGAGGAGGGGAGGAGGAGGAGGAGGAGGAGGAGGAGGAGGAGGATGGAGGAGGAGGGAGGGAGGAGGGAGGAGGGGAGGAGGAGGAGGATGGAGGAGGAGGGAGGAGGAGGGAGGAGGAGGAGGGAGGAGAGGAGGAGGAGGAGGAGGAGGGAGGAGGAGAGGAGGAGGGAGGAAGGAGGAGGAGGGAGGAAGGCAAATTGGGGCCTTCGGACTGGGTTGGGGGGGTCTGGGGGGGGGGGCGAAGCTTTGGCCCCCCCCCCCCGCCGGGCAGCCGCGCAGCCGGCCTCGGGGCCGCCTCGGGGCCCACCGTCGGCGCGCGGAGCGCCGCGCCGCGGTCGGGCTTCTGCGCACTGCGGAGCTGGGCCGCGAGCCTCGGCGAGGTCGGCGAGCAGTGCCACGGAGATCACCTGGCCGACCAGCCGCAGCTGGGGGGGCTGTGGCCCTCACCCCCCTGGCCAGGAACCCATCGCATCGACGATCTCTCGAGAGGGGTGTCGAAGTCGATGGGCCCCCCAGGGGGGGCAAGGACCACAGCTCCCCCAGTTGCGGCTGGCCTGCCTGGCTGGACGTCAGGCCGGACGCTTCGCAGACGCGATGCATCGACTTACGTTGCCGGCTCCTCGTTGCTGACTGCCGCTGTCCACGCGCAGCACACTCGCGCAGATGCCCGCGTGAAGTCTCGCACGAATTCTGGCCGGATTCCGCAAGGAGGCGTTCCCCTCTCCAGCGGCCGGATTCCATGTGATTTTACACTGCTCTGCAGTGGGTTATCCATACAGAATCCAGAACAGGAATACCTACAATTGTTTGATGTTCTGTTCTATGGTTCGCGCCGCAGAATCCATGCGCAAATCCACGCCCTGGATGGAGATACCCATGAAGACTCCACTCAGAATCTATACTGCAGAATGCCCTGCCTGAGGCTAGATCAGCCTTATCCGCAGCAGAATATCAGCGTGACGAGGACGCTCGCTTTGCAGCTGGCGCATGGCATCAGGCCCCCCTGCCAGCCCACGACCGCTCCTGCCGAAGACCTTGGCGAAACAGGCAACCAACTCCATAAGGCCAGGCACCGGCCCGTCGTCCTGCTCACAGCGAACCGAGCCCATGGCCGTCGTCAGCCATGCTCCCAGCTCCGAATCATCACCCAACCTCGGCCAACAGCTGGAAAGCGCCAGCCCTGCCTGCGACCCCCTTTGCACTCGAAGTCGGCCGGCTCTTCTCAAGCTGGCGGGCTCTTCTCAAGCTGGAGGCGATCGCATTTGCCCCCCCCGCCTGAGCTGCAGGCTCCTCAGCCATCAACCTCGTCTTCCTCCTCGACTGGGAACCAACCCCGCACTCGCTACGGTAGGTTCGCGAGGCGTCGGCGCGCGCAAATGTTTTTGCCACCGCGTCGATCGTTCAACCTTGCATCGATCGCGGCCCCGATCGTCAAGGTTGAGTCCCATCGGGTCCTGCGGCGTTGCCGTTTCTCTCGGTACCTTCCGCGCAGCTCAATCGTGCGGAATTGAACCTTAAACACCTTCGCTGGCGTCGCCGGCGCGCCATCGCCGCATGAACCTACCTCAGGGATCTTCTGACCCGGGTCAATCCAAACCCGGGTCGGTCAAGCCTTGCATAATCCTGCAAGATCCTAGACCCAAACCCGGGTCAACGCAACGGATCCTGCAACATCCTGCAGGATCCTGCGCCCAAGCCCGGGTCAATGCGACCCTGGCCCTGCAGGATCCGGCAAGATCCGGCGCTCTGACTGACCCCTGATTTCATTGACCCCCGTCTTTAGAGGCCTCCTAGATGGGGTCCGAGTAGATGGTGTCGAAGGGTCGCGCCGCATCGCCAATGCATCGGCGGCGTCGGCGTGGGGAAACACGGGCTCCACATCGAGCCGCATCGTCGATACATGGGCGATGTGGCGCGATCCTCCGACCCCATCTACTATTATGACCCCCTCTGGGAAGCCTATAGTCTCTTGAGCCCCGACTGCCTCGGGGATCTTCTGACCCGGGTCAATCCAGACCCGGGTCAGCAGGAAACCAAAAACTGCAATGCAAAAAAACAAAAACTGTAACGCAGGTCTTCGCAAACCCGGGTCAGCCAATAGGCGCGGCCGCCTCGCAGCCACGAGCGGCTCGCTAACCCGGGTCAGCCAAAGGGGGTCTTCGCAGGATCCTGCAGGATCCGGTGCCGTGGCTGACCCCCGTCTGCATTGACCCCTGTCTCGTGGCTCCCGACTGCCGTGCTGCTAGGGCGTGCCGGCCCAGCCGCTCACTAGCCTTCCCCGGGCGCTCCGGGCCCACCCGCGAACTCACACGCTCTGGGCGCGCTGGCCCGGTCGTCAGCGCGTGCCGTGGGCGTGCCAGCCCATCCGCCTTTGAGGGGCCTGTTTTCCACCACCAGCACCATAAGTTGGAGGGAGGAAGGAGGTGGAGGAGGAGGAGGAGGAGGAGGACGACGACGACGACGAAGAGGAGGACGAGGAGGAGCAGGAGGAGCAGGCACCATGAGGTGGAGGGAGGAAGGAGGTGGAGGACGAGGAGGAGGAGGATGAGGAGGAGGAGGACGAAGAGGAGGACGAGGAGGAGCAGGAGGAGGAGGAGGAGGACGAAGAGGAGGACGAGGAGGAGCAGGAGGAGGAGGAGGAGGAGGAGGAGGAGGACCCCCTCCCCCTCCAACTTATGGTGGTGGTGGTGGTGGTGGTGGAAAACAAGCCCATCAGCCTTGGCCCGGGCAGCGCCCGACAGCGCCGCCTGCGCCTTCGCTCCACCCCCACGCTTCCACGACGGACCGAAGCCGCCCGCTCGCTGTAGGCCGGCGGCCAGGGTGCCCGACACCGTCGGCAGAGCACCTGGCACAGCCACGCTCCGAACTGCCTGGCCCAGCTGGCGACCAGAGCGGCGCAGACCCGCGCCCGCGCGCACCCTGGAGCAGCCAGCCCCGAGCCACTTTTGTAAAGGGCCCCAGGACACACAAATAAATACACACAAATACAAAGATTCCCCATGTTTTCCCACATGTTCTGGGTTTTTGTCTTCCCCCCCACTTCCCATATTTTCCCATACTTTCCTGGGGATCGTCGATGAATTGTGACTGTGTGTCTTTTTCCTCCTGAGTTTGACGGCTTCGCTCGACTCCGCGCCGAGCGCTCGGCCAGCCGCCCCCCTCGAATCGGGCCGGCATCCCTCGCCGCTGCCGCGCGCACGTGCTCGGGCGGGGGGGGGGGCCCGCCGAAGGCTCGACGGAGCGAACGCCCGCCGACGTGGCCCCGCGATGGCAGCTGGTCGTTGAAGATTTGCTGGGGAAATGCCGTGAATCGCCCTTCGCGCGTGCGCGCGCGTGGCGCACGCACGCGCACCAAAGCCGCCAGGAGGCCCCCCAAAGTCCCCAAGCAGGCCCCAGGAAGCCAAAAGAGGCCCCCGAGAGGGCCCCGAGACACATCGGAACCGCCTCCAAGAGGGCTCCGAGGGGCCGCCCAAGAGATCCCCACAGACATCCAAGAGGCCTCTAACCTGGAACCCAGGCTCGGATCGGCCGAAGGCCGTTACGCATCTACAGATCGATATCTCTATGTATGTATATAAATAAGCATTGTAACCATGCAGCGTTGCAGCATGTACAAATATAGAGGCACACATAAAACATGTGTATACGTTGTATACGTCTGTACGTGTATGTGTGTGCATGCATGGATGTGTGCATGCCTGTGACCCTGCACATATGCCTGCCAGTAAGCGTGTGTGCATGCACGTGCACATTCACATATGATCGCTGTATATGGCTAGTGATGTAAATACACGTAGGCGTATCAAACTTTTACACAAGCGAGAGAGAGAGAGAGAGAGAAAAAAAAAATAAAAAGAGAAAGAGAGAGAAAGAGAGAGAGAGAGAAAGAAAGAAAGAAAGAAAGAAAGAGAAAGCGGGAAGAGGAAAGACAACGCAGGTGGACTGGAGGACGCGGCCGTGCGCCGCCCGTGGCGGCTCGCGTCCGCAGGAAGTGGAGGGGGGAAAGAGGAAACGAGCAAGATCTGTCCGCGTATCCTCCCGGGGGTGCCAGAAGAGTACGACAACTGGCATGACCAGGCGCCCAATGATCGAGTGGCCAAGAGAGGGGAATGACAATCTACCGAGTCACGATTGCAGCCGACACCAGCCTCGCCTGCCGCTGCTTGAGATCCAAGCTGAGTCGAGCACGGTTCCAAACGAGGCACGCCTATGGAGCATGCTACATCGGCGTGCAACATGTCGCGCAGAGAAGCACTATTCTGAAAGTACGAGGAAACAGGATCACCACCATCACCTCCAAGGTGAGAAAGGGGGTGGTCTGATCGGAGGTGTATACATTCTTGGCTGTCACGGGGCACGCTGTGCATCTACATCCCGCAGATCTGCAATTCCTGCACCCCCAGAAGGTAGTGAGGGTGGTTCCCTTCTTCCTACCCGAAGACAAAAGCACTCGATTTACTTTGGGAACAGACGTCCGTAGAACGAGCCGAGAGTCCACGAGATGCAGCTGGGCGCGTGCCATAATCGCTGGGCGAATATCTCCCAAAACCCTCACTGTGGGAAAACCTGGGCACAACTACACGCGCAACGGATCCGAAAAAGAGTGGCACGGCACCACACGGCAGCACTCGGGCGGCGGATCTGACCAGTGGGGGGGCACAGCACCACATGGAACCACACGGGCAGCGGACCCGAGAGGCACGCCTCCACACTGTACCACGCAACACCACGCGGACAAGGTATCCGAGAGTTGGGGGCACGGAACCAAAATATGAGCAACCTATCCGAGAAGCGGGGACACACCGCCACACGGCACCAGGAAAGCACTGTGGAACATTGGCGTTGAATGCACGCGCGGGAGAATACTTGGACCTCGTACACGCCTCAAACACCGTACTACACATGTATACACCACGTATAAATTTCCATCACATGTAAGCCAACGGAGCGACAGAGATGCCCCTGCGGAGATAGGGTCGCACCTGGCAGGTGCGACGAGTTCCTGATTGAAACACTTCCCAAAATGGTCCATGCTGCGTGCACAAAATTGCAGCACGGTGGGAGAAGCTGGGAAAGCCGGTGAAACCCAGCTGGCCCAGTCGAAAATTGGCAAGCTCATTCGGCACTCCTTCGTGGAAACGGGGCACGAGTCAGTTCAAAACGGGCGAGCACAATCAACGCGACAGGTCACCTTCGTGACCCGAGCAAGATGCCATCTAACTCTCTCTGCGCCTCGAGACGCAGGAGGGATGGGCCTCGCGAGCAGAACGGAGGTAGTCAGGTGAGGAGCACATCAAGGTCTTTAGAGCAATATCCCACGTCAAACCGAGGACCCCTAGTCTAGATCCAGTATTGGCTTAAGCTCAATTTTGCTCTGTTCTCGCGATGTCTACGTCATAAGGTTACCCTAAGAGGATTGCGCAGAGAAACATTCACACAAAAGAAGCTCGTATAACTAATATGATCCGGAGGAGGAGACGACGAGAAAAACAAGGCGACCAGCCCTGAGATGGGCGAGACGAACTCGGGCTCGCATTAGAATTCGAAAACATATGATCGGCATGATATGTTTGCACGCTGGCAGGGCTAGGTACCGTTCGTTCTCTGATGGTTCCAGGCACAGTATAGCCAGTGGCGGAATGCAGCTCATGGGCTCGCGCATGCTCTAGGGGCGGAAGGCGAGCAGACTATTAGAATACCATGATTGCACACATCCAGCAGTGCCAGAGTTCAGTGACAGCACATGTCCACCCACAATCCACCAGCCAATGTTGACGAGTGGTGATGTATAGGCATGAATAAGCGCATGGCGGAGTCGTTATTATGCTGCAAATGTTTTTAATATGTCTATGGTGGGAAGCCCCGCAGAGCGCCGACGCTCACAAGCAAGAAGCATTGGCTCAGATCTGTTGCAGCAGGGTGCCTGACCGGCACGTCTCCACTCAGAGCGTCGGCACAGCGATGCTGCCCTGGCTACGTCAGGGAAACAACAGAGAAAGCCCACTGCAACCTTGACAGTACGTAAGCCATCGGGAGGCGCATGCGTGTCAAAATGTAGATCAAAGATGATGCGTTCAGTTTTGTTCTGCTGGCCAAAAGCGAAGGGAAGACACCTCTAAAACATGAACCCGGCGCGACCAAAATTAGCGGAAAGCTTCCTATTGCATGGGCGCAGTGCTTGGCATTGCTTGGCATTGCTGGGAACGGGCACAGATCGGGGAAACCTGGGAACCCAGGGAACCCGAGGAACCCAAGAAACCCTGGGAACCCGAGAAACCCGAGGAACCCGAAGAACCAGAGGACCCGAGGAACCCGAGGAACCCGGGGAAGCTCCGAGGAACGGGCAAAGTAGCCACCCGAAGCACCAACCTTTAACCAAGTAGGAACCCCTTAGACAAACCTAATTTGAGAAAACAAACATTTCCTATTACGCCGCGATTGAGTTGCTGAACGCGTGGCAGCGCGCATGGCGAGACCTCTCTCGTAAAGACAACGGGAAGATATGACCTACAAGAGCTGGCATGTTGCCAACGATTCGCTTCGCAAATTGAAGACGCCATATTTCTGCGACGATGATCCAAGTAACGAAATGGTTTTGCTGCTCGGAGGTGGTGTGACGAGTTTTCTCTTGCCTCTTCCAAGCCCCTCCTGGCCCTATTCGGGGAGGAGGGGGCCCCTCCCCTCTCCTGGCTTTTGGGAGGGGCGGCCCGCGAGGGATAAGAGGATCATTATTGTCCAAATGGCCGCCAACGCTCCAAGATGGCCTCCAAGACGGCCCAAGATACCGGGAGATGGTTCGTGATAGCCTGCGGTGTACCTCCGATAGCCCCCACAACGGCCACAAGACGACTCAAAGTGCTCTCTTGGCCCCTAAGGTACTTCCAACAAAAACAACATCGTACTGTGCATGCGCCTACTGTCACATGCATCCGCACGCACACGAGAAAGGCATAGTCGCACAACACGCATACACATGCATGCGCACACTCACAGCTCCGTGAACATACCTACGCACGTGCACCCAAATCGGCATGGGCACGCACTTACTCGCAAAGGCAAGCACAACTGACATGTATGTACGTGCATATCGTTGTGAATGTAAGCGCGCCAGCATGCGAACCGATGTGCGTGCACGGGCGTACGCACGTACACGCACACGTGACCACGTCTGGCCAGCAAGAAACAAGACATACGCATGGCGTGTGCGCTTCAGCTGAAACTGATCCATGTGTGTCCATGCATGCCCCACTGAAATAGTCAGCGGCTCAATAGCGAAAGTCTAGAAGTATTCTGGCAGTGGGCAATACATGTGGCATGGTCATGCCAGTGTAATTGCACCGTGCGTGCACCCATTTGTTCGCGGCAGAATGAAACAAACAACACCGAACCAATGCAAACTGGCACACGATATTTTTCCTGGTTCACGGATCTTTCAATGCAATATCGTCACACTATGATACCAGCTCTGCGCTTGAAACCTCGCTTGTAGTTGGCTGATGAGGGGATAGGTGGGCCTTCTTGGGAAACAGCTTGGGCTTGGGTTCGGGCGGGGAGAAGGTTAGAAGTTCGAGTTCGGAAACTAAGGAAAGCAAAGATTCGAAACAACATCAAAAGTTCAGGGAGATACCAAAACAACTCTAATGGTTTAAAAGGGTTTCGAAACAGTTCGAAATAAATTCAAACTAAATTGAAAGATTCAAAAAATGTTTGAAACAAATCTAAAGCAGTCCGGACAAAGTTTGGAACAAATTCGTGATTTCACGAAAACTTCACACGCGCTCCAGATACTTGAAACTTCTTCGCCGCCGAACTGTTTCCAAACTGTTTCCGAACTTCAGGATTCTAGCAACTTTGAACGTGAACTTTGTAAAAACATTGGCCTCAAAATGTTCTGGACTCTGTTTTTTTACATGGGGACCGTTTGCGCCCCCCAGCCAACTACAAATGGAGCATTCATCTGAGCTATCAATGCGCGCTAAAAC